GAAGGCGTTGAGAGAGAGAGAGAAGCGGGAGAGCTGTGGGGAAGTGGCCCAGGGAAATGTAGCAACTCTGGCAGTGAAAGATCGGCTGCCAACAGCTGCTGCCATTAGGGTCCTTGGGCTGGAACCCAGAGTAGAGGGCGGGCCTGGGTTTCCCCCAACTCGCCACTACAGAAACACCTCCTGGGAGGGGCAGACAGGCCCCTATCAGGACAGGAGGCTAAACTGTTCTGGAATAAGCCCGTAGGGACAACAGAGACTGTGGGAGTTTTCTCACCAACCTCCTTGCTGGCTTATGATGAAAATGGCTCAGTAGGCTGTGACCCTTGCCTCGAGAGGGAGAAGGGCTATGTAGAGGGTCACAGTGAGCCTCTGAGGCTCGCGTAATCTGCCAGGAAGCACAGGACCCACTGAGACAAGGTCAGAGCTCTGCCACAGTATGAAGAAGAAAATGATCGTGCCATGATGAAGCATCAGGGGAACCTTAAACTCCATCTGGCACAGCCTTTGAATTATGGCCAGATCTGACTGGGTAGATACTAAGTATCAGGAATTTGATAGGAGAAGAGGAAGAAGAAATACAAGCCCAGAATTTCGTTGCATGTTATCTGTGTACCAAATTGTTGTGATTAGCACGTTTGTTGAAAACTAGACAAGAATTTTGCCTGTGCAATTGTAAAAATCTGGGTTATAATAATGTTTTATATACTAAAACTAATGTAATGCAAATTAGGGCAAAACCAAATTTTATTTTGAAATATTAAATTGTTCCAAAAAATCTTTATCTTTCTGCTGTATAAAGCCATTCTGAGGCTTTGAAATTAATTTTCCTGGTGGGATTTTTTTCCCCATTTGTTTGCTTGCAAAGTTTCCATTTTCTGGAATTGTGAAATATACAATCTGGGATGAATCCTTTAGTCCTCACTAAAATAGAAGAATCTTTTAGTTAGTATGTGAGTCCTGACATAGTATTTACAACAGAATAATAGGAGCTATTGTATATTTACATTTCCTTCTCTAACCTAGGTTAGTCTACAGTATAAATACATTTTAAATAAGGTCTGGCTGGGAGAGTTATGTTATAGACTTAGTGATGAAGGCAGGTTGATGGGTGGGAATGAATTCGCTAAGCTTTCAGCTATCTATTATGCCTCTGAGGACTGCCCATTAATAATATTAATATGTAGGTGTTTCCCAGCAATGTGGGCAAGGTGCTTGTTAGAACTTTGAAGCTAAAGTCTTTTTTAACACACAGACCTTTTCAATTTAATCCATTAGCAACTTGGCAAAATAAAGTAATGGTCCAACAGAGGAAGGAAAAAAATCTATTAACATTTGCTACAAATCCTAGTACAGGCAGCACTTAATTAATGGAACAGATTTCTCACTATGTATTCAAGCTAACATAGTCATTGTTCAGGAGAGATTAGACCCCTAATGTAAGTAAGTTAAACTAGAGTTTCATCTAAAAATATCCGTCATTTCAGCTATTAAAGGGCTGATGTCTTCTTCGGTGACAGATATATTTCCCTTCATTTCCTGGGTTTTGTAAAATGTAAAGTATGCATTGTGTGTAACGCGAGAAATCCACGGAGGTAGATGAAACCTAGATTGTGCCTCTCTGCCTGTCTCCCTCTGCTTGCTCCTTTGTGCTGCTCTGTATCATAGAGCCTCTTCAGCCATAGACCTCCTGGCACCAGAGTGAAAAAAACAGCAACTGCCATTTGTCAGGGTATGATGCCAGCCACCTAATCTGTTTGCAAAATGAGGGCCATGGGATCTGATTAAGTAATTTAGATACCTTGCAAGTTTAATAATACCTGAGCTGCATTTGGCTGGCAGCCCATGATTTCACTTGTAGGAACTGCCACATTCTTCCATCTCTCCTGCTAACTCTTCTTGCACATAATGCCTTGTTTGAATCTGAATGGGTGTGGAGACTACAGAGAAGGTAAAGTTTTGCCTCTCTCTTTCTTTTTTAGTTTTTCTGGATGGATAGGAGAGGAGGTTGCTTAAAAAAAAAAAGGCTCCCCCCCCCCGTAGTTCTTTACACTTTGTGCGGTTCCATTTTCCTTTTTTCATCATTTTTACTTGAAATCAAAATTTTCAAATGTAGGTGCTTAAATTTAGGCAGTGGCCTGTATGAATGGCCTGACTTTCAAAGGTGCTGAGCACCTCAGGCTCTCAGTGGCTTCTATGGGAGTTATGGATGCTCTGCTCATTTGGAACTGTGATTGTACTGCACCTTTGAAACTCAAGCCAGTTACCTATTCCTATTGTTTAATGTTAAATATTGTGATTGCACCCAGAGGCCATGATCAGGATTGGGGGCATTATTGTGCTAAACTCTGTTTCAACCAAGAGGAAGAGTTCCTGAGTATGGAATTAGGTAGCTAGCTTCTGACACCCAAGATAGAAAATGTTGGCCACTGTTGTCAAGTTTTAACCTCCCAAATTAAATATTTTTTTAAAGTAAAATGCTTCTTGCACAACCTAGTAATATGACTTGAAATATTTCATGATCTTTTTTAACTAATGAAAATGGGTCTTTCTGAGAAGATTGGGATTTAAACATCTTCCTAATACGGTTAGCAGCAATGTTCCAGCTGCAGCAACATAATACTCATGATGAGACCAAGAAAGGGAAACTGACTAGTAACCGAAGTGAAACTAAACAGCATAGCTTCCTTGTCTAAACTGAGTGAAGTCTGAAAAGTAAATAGGCTCCCTGGGAGAAGTACAGGAAGCCTTGTAAGTTAGGGACATTTGCAATGAGATTGGTCAAAAGAATGGAAATGTACAATAGGGAACAAATCCTGCAAAGGCAGGGAGCTACGCTGGATCAGCTAATAGTTTTTTTCCATCTCTGTTGTTATTGCTGCTGTTCCCAGCATTCAAAATGTGCTAGGTACTTTCCAAATGTAAAAAGATATTTTCTATGAAATGATGAAATTTTCATTTTTAATGATGAAAGGTGGTCATAATGCAAGTAAAAACTTTTTAAAATAGGTTTTACGTGGACAGCACTTGGGTTTGGGTTTTATAAAAATCAGCAACAACAAAAACAATTATACAGTGTAGTACGAGTTTGAGGTCGGGTTTTACTGTATTATCTAACTTTATTAATTGTATCTCACACATGCAAGGATAATTATCATCAAACTTCTCAGCCACTGGGGAGAAACTAACCTAGTCACTTTCACATGAAATAAGTGTTGCTTTTTTTATTCCAATATCTGAAGATAGAAGAAGAAAACTTTTTACTGGTCATTCATGTATATTTTAGGAGGTCTTGTAGAATGTATGAAAAGTTAATGCTCCCTGACATTTGACTTCCCCTATGCTAGGCCATGTATTTTTTAAATTATGTACCTATATAATGTGCTCCTTTTCTCCCATACTCCCACATCCCTTTGTGTTTGGAGAGAGCACCTGACTCTCCTCACTTCCCCACAACTTGGAGCATTTGAGTGGTCTGCATGTTAGAGCACCATGTATCAAGGATTTGGCAGTGTTTTCAGAACCCCAGTTACAGGAATTGAAGGGAGATAGTTGACAGTGTCATGGTTTTGCTGCAGCACCTGCTTATTTCCTATTCTCTTACTGCTGTGATTTCCCCTCACTCTTCCCCGCTTTTGCAGCACATTGTGAATGCCTCTTGGAGCAATTTACTTTCAAGAAGAGAAGGTGGCTCTGGTGCTGAGTCCCCACAATTAGCTGTAAATGCCCACTAGATGTGTCTGTAACGGAGCAAATCACATGTGCTTGTAGACCTCCTGTCTCCAGTAAATCATAAGCATCTCAATCTTTTTGTCAGGCCATGATATGAGACTCCGTCTCTGAATTTCAGAATGAGGTGGGAGAAGCTGATTAATTGTTTGAGATAAGGTTACGTGACACCACAGGTTAAAAACACCTGAACTGAAACTGGCCAAATGCCAGAGAGCTACGTTTTGGAGCATGCAGATAGGTGGCATTGAGTATGCTTCTCAGAGGTTCTCTGTCATCTGCTTTAAGAAAGAAAAGGCTTCAAGACTCCAAGGAGCAGTATCTCCTCTGTCTTGCAGCATTTATTTGGACTTGACTTCTTTGTATCTCTTATCTGAAATGTCACCAATGTGACACATTAAAATAGTAAATAAAACCCCTGCTGTTTAGGTAGAAAAGGGCAGATATTCCTGTTAGAACACAGACGGTTTAAATCGTTTTCAAGCATAGTATTTAAACTTCCAGACATGCTCTTCTGCTCCCCCAAATTCTGATCTTCTTAAGGATTGACCATGTTAAAAAAAAAAAAAAAAAAAATTGTAACCCGGTTAACATATATGGTGCTTTGGCCAGAAACAACACTGCTTTACTTGTGGTGTATTGAGCAGTGTACTTTTGGCCAGTCTAGGTAATGGACCAAAGGTATTCAAGACCTCTGGTGCCTATGGAGCTACACTTTTTCAGGATTTTAATTTTTTTGATTTGTCACTTATGTTCTTGGGAGCTGTCTGTATGAATTTTTTTTTGACAAGTTGGTTTTGCATCTCAGAAATAGAGCAAGGTTAAATGTGACTCTTCGATTTTTAAAAAATGCTAGGCCACAAATCCACTCACAAGAAAGAAGAGGCTGCTGGAAAGCATCCATGCAGGATAAAGAGAGAAGTCTGCAGAGTTTTAAAGGCCTAGATCAGGCAATTTGATCTGATTTGTTAAAAATCCACCACGGTTTATCCCCTCAGAACTTCGGAAGGAGATGGTTTGGGGGTAACTGTATTAGGGCTTGCAAAGAACATGGATCTGGGAATGAGGATGCAGGAGACTGTTTTGGATTGTGGGGAATAACTATTCTGAACTGGACTTTTGAATGATTGTCATAATTTTAGTTTTAGCCAATAAATCCTTGAAATGAGGTATGTTGCAATGATGAACTCATATATTCATTGTTTTCAGATGTTCACTTGTAATATTGAAATGCTGCCAGAGTTTTTTGTCATGTATGTTCTTGATTTTTTCAGATGGACTCAAGCCAGATACAAAGGTGCTTCTCACTGTGACCTCCAAGAAGAAATCCAAGGCAGGGAAGGGAGATACAGCCAAAGAGGATGAAAGCAGCAAGGTTGACTCAGCCCAACCTGTTACTATCAACCTTCTCTTTAAAAGATATGTCTTTGATACACAGAAGAAAATGGTTCAATCTTGAGAAGGCGGAAGAGGCCTTCTAGCTGATGTCTGAAGTGTCCTTAAAAGGCTTACACACCAGAATGAATTCAGGTGGAACGTATTTCTTGTCTGAAAACCTTGGACTTTGAAAGATTTTTTTATCTCAGTAACATCCGTTAAGGGTGCCTTCTCCCTGGATTGAAGCTGGAAAGTCCTCCTATCCCCATGACTGCGCTTAGCCTCTAAAATCTTTGTTCATTCTGATTTTGCTATTTGAATTTCCCTGCTGTCCCTCTTGGCACGTATCACCTGTCAATTTGTACTTTTGTGTTTTACGGTTGATAGAAATGTTTTCGTGAATGTTTTAAATTTCTTTTAATTTAAGCATTCTGCAGCAAGGTGGAAAATCCAAACCCAGTCGCATTTGGGAAATTTTATGGTAACTAGTAAATGAAATTAACCAGTCTACTGGTTAAATGGTAAAATTAAAATAGATGTTTTAGATTTTCAGATCTAATAATGTGTGATGCTGTCTAAGAGACAGGTATGGAAGTTTTGGAAAAATGATTTATATCTTGACAGTCTGCACTGTTAGAACATCCTCGTACGCACATAATTTCATGGCCTGTATCGTTATGTTTGCTAGTCTGTCAGTTCAGAACTGCTTTTCTACAATATTTCACACAGCTTTTGTGAGTCTGCTAGCTATTTACTTGATTCTTTAGGAAATTGGGAGGCTAAAATATTCTGGGTCCTTGCTAAGAAAATATGCCCTGGAACTGCTTTAATTTTTGTAACCAAAGTGCTTGTTTTGTGAGAATGAAATGGAAAGTTGCCTGTGGAAATAGTGACTGGCTTCATTTCATTAAAATTAAAATAGCAGATTACAGTTATAAGGCCTTTTAAACTAGAGATCTCTAAGGTGCTTTAGAAACTATTAGCTGTTTAGAAGGGCTCTCATAGGTGGTACTTCTGATTTCTTGCCCCAACCTCATAAAAGCTGGGGATAACAGTTCTCCAGTGTCCCTTATTTGTTTCTTGTAGAGCATAAGCCACCCTAACTCTGATACTAACAATGGCTGTACACATTCAGATGCTACACTCTTGAGCAGGGCTTGAACTAAGGTTTTACAATGCCAAAACATTCACCCCTGCCATTTGATCAAAAGGAGTAACTGTATTTGCTGTCAGTAAGTAGTGTGGTTGCTGGGACCAGCCATGAGAATGAGATGGAGCCACATGCACCAAGCAAGTGTATTTCTTTGATGATAAATAAATAACCATAACAGATCATTTGCTCTCTTGTTTTCCAAAGCATTATTAATCAGCCATCCAGTAATGGGAATAGGGGTTGTTGGTTAGCTTGTGCCCTTTCTGCTGGCTTGGTGGCTTTTTTTCAGCAGAGCAAAATATTGTAGGATTTATTTATTTGGTGACAGGGATGAACTGGAGGAAGCAAAAAACTTGATATCCAGAGGACATTTCCCGCTAAACATTCTTGCGGCAGGGCAAATTTGGTGCCTAAACTAGCTTGACACAGTGTCCCTTTAAATCAGATCAGAGGAGGTGCTTTGTGGAATAATCCCAAACAGTTTCTGCTGAGTGAGTGAGTCCCAGCCAAAGCTTTAGCACATCCTTTAAGATGATGGGGTACACTTTCAGTGTGATCCATGAGGAATTAGGCAGGCAACTCCAGTTACGGCTTAATATGACTTGTGCTGCCAGCCCTGCTGGAAAATGTATCCTCCTATAAGGAAAATGTGTCCTCTCTACCACCCTCCTCTCTCATATACACCCCCCAAGACAATCTTCCATAAGAATATTTATTGCATTCTCTTTCTGTTAAGTCATTATCAAATCCTATATTGCATCCTTTACTCAATATTGCACTCCTGTTTAGCACTTAGATACTATGGTGATGCATATTTTAGAAAACTGTAAAATAGATGACACAGAGGGAATGCCTATGTATTATATCAGCTTAATCTAAGAATTAATGGTATAATTTCAGGGAAACTCAAAAGTGAAGTTTTGATCACTTGCAATTACTAAAGAATTTTTAGTACGTTTAAGAATGTTTTTGTTTGGGTTTTTTTGTTTTGTTTAGAAGTGCAGAGGTTTTGGCTCTGGTGTCCTCAACAAATACCGAACTGGGTTATTAACTGCCAATCCTAAAATACCCTTATGAGTTTCAATAAGACATGGTAGTCTGTGTGTGTTATCCTAAACTCTGCTGTGTACTAATGTTGCTGGCCGCTGGGTTCCACACCAGAGGTAGTAGCATTTTGGTGATGGGTAAGTGATTCTTGACTGTACGCTTTGTAAAGGACTTTTTGATACTTCTGGATGGAAGTCAGCCAGTCAGTGCAAGGTATGTATTGTTACATAGCATTTTCTGTTTAGCTTTTTGAATTCCTTCTTGGTTTCCACCCAGTTCTTCTTGCATTCTTCAGGGCAGTCTGAATGGGCCAGTCAGTTGTTCTGGAACTTGATCCATCTGAAAACATACAGATTTGGAATACTTACTGAGTCAATATAACCCTCTCTTCAGCTGAACAGTATTCTAGTGCTTTATAATTCTGTATTTTAAACCCCTTTTGAAGAGAGTGTTGTCCTTGCACTTTGCTCATCTGGCAGAGCACTGTATTTTATAGGACCAAGAGTTGGTAATATATGCTGAGAACTTGTTTTTTTCCCCCTTGTAACTCTAAGAGAAAAACTTAAGTGCCCAGGAACTTTGATTATAACGTGCTGTTACTGCAGATCTCTGGCTGCTGTCCTGAGGCTGTTGGATACACATTCAGAAAAGGGTGAAATGGTGGAACAAAATGATTATGGGAAAATCAAAGCATTTAAAGGCATTTGTAGGATGAACAGATGTTCAAACGTTCTCTTATTTGGTCTCCAGACATACGCCGAGACTTTGCTTTCATCTTGGTAATCGGTGCATTATGCTGTAATTTGTAAAAATGGCATTAAAATTTTTTTAACAGGGTCATAGTGTGATCTTCTGACTGTGTCATTAAGCTGTGAAGCTAACGAATGACAACTGGGAAAAGGGGTTAAATGTTGCAGAATGTACCATACTAGTACATATTATAGGAGACAATGTGCTATAATTAACCCAAAAATCAAATACAAATAAAGGGAGGTTTTAAGAAATTGCTGAGATTGTGATAGAGGCTGAGAAAATCCAGAAAATATTACATTCATGCTGGTGTTCAACGTTTAATGCAGCCTACTTGGATTGTGGGAGTGAAGGAGGTGCATAAAGTTGTGTTCAAGAGCGAACAGCCTTATATTTTAAATGTATTCTGTCTATTTTTAGATTTTATTTTAGTGTCAAACTGTACCCGTCCCAGTCTGGGCTGTGATCCTATCAGTTCCCTTACTGTAATGGGGTCAAACACTGCAAGATGTGATATTAATGATTCAGTAGGTGGCATCCTTCACTCGGAGTTAAGATTAAACTCGTGTCCCAGCCCAGTGATGGGATGTGCTCTGGTATTGAATGTCCTGACTTTTAGATGAGACTTAACCCCAGGTCCTGACTAATTGTGTGACCATCGAAGATCCTGCTGTACTTTTCACTCGAGTAGAGATACTAACCCTGGTATTGTGGCCAAATTCCAACATAGATAATTATGTTCTGCCTACCTAAGTTCTCTGTAGAGTCTCTTTTGGGTATAGTTTCTTTCTTCACCCCTTGTCTGTGGTGTTAATTTAGTGGAGCTAGGTGACTGCAGGAAAAAAAGAAACATCCACATTGCTGCAGTATGGAGATGTTTGAGCAATGTGTGTGTTCATCTGTTAGCACTAAGCACATTACATGTACATTAGTGTAGTAACATTGAGTAATCACAGGGTGGCAGACTAAAAATGAAAACATAACACTACAGGAATTTGTAAGGATGCTGCATTACCCTACAGTAGCCATGTTCCACTCCAGAGATGGCTGCATTTCAGTGCTGAGAGGTCAGTCCCTATATTTACATTATGTAAAGAAATGTGGGATCTTGTGAAATGAAGGATGAAAGACAGCAGAGAAACTGATTTTTATTAATAGTATTCTAAGCTATTTTTATCTTCGTTTTTAAATAAAAAGCCTTTCAGTTCCCTGTTAATATTAAATGAGTTTAAGATCTGAAATCATTAAGACTATATAAGTAGACTCAAAATTTTCAAATACATACGAACACAATATTCTAAGCTACTGAGCCTGGGAGAGGGAAAGAAGGAAATCTATGTAAATATTAGTCTGTGTGGAGCCAAGACCCAGAATAAATTTTAAAGCAAAATATTGGAAAATCAGTTCTTCTTTGACTAGTGGCCACATGTATTCCACTTCTGGTGTGCATATACCCCATGTGCATGAGATTGGATTCTTTTGAATAGCAGTGTCCATTTGGGCTGCACCTCGAACCCTGATGCCCCATGGAGTTTCAGGGCAGGGGGTTTAGTCTAATTATATCCTAATTCCAAAGAAGAAAAGGCGGTTGACACCCCATCCTGGACCTTTGACATCTCAACAAATTCTTCCATTGTTACAAGTTCACGATGGTGACCCTAGCTTTCATAATCCTCATATTAGATACTCAAGACTGATTTTTGGCTTTCAGTTTTCAGGATGCCTGTTTCCATATAGCAGTTCACCCAACCCAAAGAAAATAGTTCAAATTCCTAGTGGGAAAGTGACTGCTTCCTTTAGGTCTCTCCACAGCTCCAAGAGTGTTCACCAAGTGTCTAGTAATTTTGTCAGCTCACTTAAGGAGACAAAGGATACATATCAGCCTGTACCCTGATGACTGGCTAACTCAGGGACAATTACCTCAACAAATGAACAATTCCATCCAAGTAACTGGGACTCTTTCCTTCACTTAGTCTCAAAGTCAACAGAGAGAAATCCAATCTCACTCCTATTCAAAGTTTGTAGGAACAGTGTTGGATTCCACAGCATCAAGAATTTACCTCCCCCAGGATAGGCCCCACACTATATTGACCCTTATCAGTCAACTCAAGTTTTACCCAAAACCACATCAGTCAGAGCCTCACTTAGGCTTCTGGGGCACAATCAATTCTACTCTTCCAGGAATCAATCCATCTCTTGGACTGGTGCATTCATCGTCACATCATACTAGTCATGTGCCTTTGCATCGTCCATTGTAGATCGACTAAATAGACAGTTCTCAGACAATCACAAGTGGTCTGTCAAGGACTCAGTTCTGCAGACCATCTTCTGCAAGGGGAAATATTCAAGAACAGAGCTGTTTGCTGTAGACCAGAACTTGCTGGTTGTTTTACTCCGGGGGGGATCAAGTCCAGGCTGTCTGTCGGACACCTTCCTCATCCCTTGAATACCAGTATTTATGTATGTTTACCCATCTATTGCGCTGATTCCAATGGGCCTAAGGAAACTTTGGCAGAAGGCAGCCTCAGCATGACCCAGGCAGTTCTTGTATTCAGTTCTGATGAATCTGTTCCCATTGACCTTCTGTCATGTTTCAAGGTCAGCACAATGTGATCACTCAGACTGGGCGAGAGATCCTGCTCCTGGGCCTGTTTTTATTGTACTTGACAGCCTAGAAACTGGCTGGCTAACCTGCACAGACAGATCCTGCTCTGCTAAAGTCTGTAACCGTTAGGCTTGTAGCAGGTAAGACTCCACTAGAGTGACTTGTGGAGTAAAATGGAAATAGTTCTTTATTTGGGCTCTCTAAAAATACATACCTCTTTTAGAAACCTCTATAGCAGCTATGCTGGAATCCCTGTTAGCCCTAAAACACTCTGAGCTTTCCATTAGCTTGATAAGAGTTCAATTATCTGCTCCTCACCCTCCTGTCACAGGGCAGAGTCTTCTCATACCCAACAGTTGCTAGATTTCTCAAGCACTCATTCATGACTTTCCTCCAGTCAGAAACACCTCACCGTTCTGCAACTTCAGTGCTGTGTTATCACGCTTATTGGATCCCCCTTGGAACATCTAGCAACCTTTACTCTATACTGTGTTGTGACACTTTCTCTGATGATCTTGTTGCCTTAGCAAAAGAGAGATTTGTTGGTATTAAACTGAGTGATAGCTCCCTGTCATCACAGTTTGTTAGCCACCCAAATTCCCTAGGAATCTGCCAGCCTTCTTTGCCTTGCAGGTAATGCTTAATACTTCCTAGTCCCCGAACCTCCTTTAAGACCATTCTTCTGTAGTATTGAGTCCCTGTCACTGGACGTTCACAGAAATTACCAAGTCTGCTGTCTCCAAAGAGAAAGTATACACACCAGCCTGTTAGCTCAGCAGTGAATTCACACTTTACATATCTCACTGGGATGAACTTAATAGTAAAACCAAGAATAAGTTTATTAATAAAGGACAGAGATGTAAGTGATACTAAGCAAAGATAATAGAAACAAATGATTATAAACACAACAAAAGTATAACATGCTTTCTGGTAACTAAAACTTAATTTAGGCTCAATCCTTATCTAAGGCAGTTTCTCACCTAAAGCTTCCACTCAATGTCACAAGCCCTTTCCCCCGGGCCAGGATCCAGCTTTCATTCATGCAAAAACCTCTGTTCTTTGGTCCAGTGTCTTTTCCCCCTGTTATAGTCCAGTTAACCTTTGAACTGTATTCTTTTGATGTGTACCCCAAGACAAAGTCCTTCACCCCTGCTGGTGTGCAAACGCTGTGCTGCTGATGCTGTTTTCTCATCCTTCTGCTAATTTGTGGATTTACTATGCAAATGAAGCTTGCTTTGACTTGCACAATTCTCAGTTTATGATAGAGGCCTAGGCAGACAAGTAAATCAAGATTCCTTCATCTAGGAAAACCTTGTTTATCACCCCTGCCTGGATTGCTTGGTTTAAACGTCTTTTCGGCATAAACATACAACTTTTTAATTGTTATCCAAACATACATTACACAATGATTATGCTGACAATTATGACACAAGTTTTCCTTTGGTACCTTACACAGCATTCTTTACAGATAAATACCACAACAGCAATGTGTTAGGTGTAGTGAGTTTGTGGCCTGATAGAAGTTGCTGTTACATGACAGTGAACCCTTTGCCAGTAGGCATTGAGGGGATCTTAGGGTCACACACACGTCTTTGAAGATTGCCTTTTTATGGCTATAAATTCAGCTTGACAAGTAGGAGAGATCTAAGCCCTCATAGCGGGACCGCCTTATACAGTAGTCCATAAGGACGTGCCACTAAGACCTCAGCCAAAATTTTTGAACCAAGTGGTCCGTCTTATGGTTTTCTTTGCTGTGCCTCCATTATAATAAAGGAGAGGTTAAACTTCACGCTTTTGAGGTCATTAGAGCCCTCTCCTGCTATCTGAGCAGGACAAGATCTTTCGGAAATTCTTCCAGTCTGTTTCTAGTGTTTGCTGACAGGGTGAAAGGTCAACTTGTATCCACCCAAAGACTGTCCAAATGGCTCTCTCGGATCTGTTCTGCAGATTAGAGCCCATTTCACTGGGGTCCAGACAACCTCGGCAATGTCTCTAAAAGGAATTCCAGTTTCTTAGATATGTAGTGCAGTTATCTGGAGTTCAATCCCCACTTTCACCTAGCACTACTGTTTAGTGGAGCCTCCAAACCTGATCCCTGCTTTGGTAGAGCTGTCATAAGAACGGCCATACTGGGTCAGACCAAAGGTCCACCTAGCCCAGTATCCTGTCTTCCGACAGTGGCCAATGCCAGGTGCCCCAGAGGGAATGAACAGAACAGGCAGTCATCAAGTGATCCATCACCTGTCGCCCATTCCCATCTTCTGGCAAACAGAGGCTAGGGACACCATCCCTGCCCATCCTGGCTAATAGCCATTGGTGGACCTATCCTCCATGAATTTATCTAGTTCTTTTTTGAACCCTGTTATAGTCTTGGTCTTCACAACATCCTCTGGCATGGAGTTCCACAGGTTGACTGTGCGTTGTGTGGAAAAAAATATTTCCTTTTGTTTGTTTTAAACCTGTTGCCTATTAATTTCATTTG